AGCAAGACGTTTCGAGGAGCCATTTATGTCCACTAACGTAGCACAGGAATTAAACTTTGATAAAGTAAATTTTTGTTTACTGAATTTTAATACTTTCTGAGAAAAGGTTTTTTATTGCATATAGTGCGAAACACCTATAAGAACTAAGAACACCGACTTATCATATCCACCTGCCACGGGTTTTATTTAAAACCCCTTAATTAATAGGAAACCATAGTAAACAAAATATTTGGAAAGTTAAGAAAATGAGATATTCTTTAAGTATAAGACGCAGGAGAATGACCACTTCTTTTCAATATTCAGAGTCTTTTTCGGTGTTGTTTTGAATTTCCTTCAATAAACTAAAGCTACCTTAGAAGGCAATGTAAATATATCTCCCGGTAATTTACACTGTTTGGGGGACGGACTTTATACCATTACATATTGTTTCAGCGAAGCTTAAATTAATGAAGTAATAAGTTATGATTATAAAAGTGAATTTACATAAAATCAATTCAACGGGGACTTAGTCCAACTTTTTTCGAACATTGTGTGGTTTTTTTTACTTTTCCAAGAACTTTATATATAAGCAAAGATTGTAAAGCGGGGAGTACGGTTTATCGTCCTTTATCTGAAAAGATTAGAAAGTCAAGCCATATTCAGCTATTATTGGGTAGTGTAGTATTTTCTCCTCATTTTAAAAAGACCCTGTTGTTCGGTTCGGCCTTCGGGTTTCAGTGAAATGTGTTAGCTAATAGTATGTCACTTGGTGCTTTTGAAATGAGTGATAACAGGAACTTGTTTAGTATATATTCTTTAAAATAAAATAAGCTAAGAAATTAGCTGTAAGGGAAAAAACTTTTAGACTGAGGGAAGCGTTGCCATGGTTAAAAGAAATAAATTCGAAATTTACTCCAGCCCTTCTTTTTACTTTTAGGCGAGGAATTTCTTTAGAAACTAAATTTGCCAAAGACTTACTAATAGATTCATTGTCGGTTCACTCATTTATGTTAAAATTTGTTATCTTTTTTTAAATCGATTACTAAGAACTATGTATCCGGTTAACTTTACGAATAAATCGTAAGAAAAAATCATTCTTACCTGTTTTTAACTAAAGTGAACAATTTCAACTTTCAAATGCAATCGATATAGTCACGGTTACAAACGTTCGTGCGTATTAACTTCTTTTTCTTCGTGGCTTCAAAGCCATTTGTAGCAGCGGAGACGTCAGTAGCTAAAGCATATCATGCAAATAAAATTATGAAACCCCAGACATGAATTATCTGGCAGGTGAAGCATATATCGGTGTCAGTAAGAAAGTATACGTAAGAATATTTCCGGCTTATTTAGGGTCTCACTTACGATCTCTCGATACGACACGTGGCGCGCAGAGAAAATGAAAACAAAAACAATCAATCAAAATACAGAGTCTGAAGAGTAACTAACTAACGAATTGCTCAAGTTTTTTCCGTTACAAGTTTTTTTTTTTGTTTTTGTTTTTGTTTTGTTTTTTCAAAGGAAGTTAAAAACTTCCTTTGAAAAAAAAACAACAAGCAGCAGTCTTTAAGCTCCGCAGGGACATATTCTTGCCGCAGGCCCAAACTCTGTGGGAGTTCGTTGGACTGAATTTTTATAAGAGAATGTATAAAAATAAACAAAATGCGTCCCGAATTCCATTTTTTGCCAAAAATAGAAATAAAAATGACTTACCTTGTGTTTTTGTTTTGTTTTTTACTGTCTCTTCGCCTCTAAAGCCATTTGGAAGTCGTTTTACAACTCAAAATCTTAAACATCGAGAAAACGGCTTCCAAATGGCTCTAGAGGCGAAGAGACAGTAAAAAAAAAAGCACAAGGTAAGTCATTTTTATTTCTTTTTTTTGTAAAGAAATGGAGTCCATCGAATTCCCCCAGCGTTTGGGTAGCCTGTGGCCTCACTGAACAAAACGAGCGCTATTTTCTACTCCAGGTTACATCAAATTCAGAGTACAGTTTCTTGTTTGCCTGGAATGGATTGCGCTGAATTCAAACTTCTCAGGGATGTAGCTGGGCAGCAGACAATTTCAATCTGTATTTTTTATAAACCTGTTTTTGTTGTAGGAATTACAGTAACACTTCTATCTATAATTACAGTTTGGTACAGTATTTCATTCTAACATCAATAGACAATCTCGAAGTCAAACTCCTTGGTTAATATATTTGGGTTGTAACCCAAATATAACAACCCGCTTAATTTTGCTTGGCTTATATTTTGGGATATTAAAGCGCCAAATCTCTGCCAGCAGGTTCTTAAATCGCTTAGTTCTTATTAGCGGTTTTTTACTGTATTGGAGTGAGGGATGAAGCGGTGACCCCAAACACAGGCTGAGTCCGTAATCCACTACAGGCTGTATAATAGCATTGTACGACATTAACCCAGCAAGTGATGTAAACAATCGTTTTGAAAGCTTGAGTAGACCGAGTCTCTTGCGGATCTTCCTATTGTCTTTTCTATGTGTTTGTTCCAGGTGGGTCTGCTGTCAAGATGGATTCCGACCCGTTTGGTTCTGCCGACAGTTTCCATTACCTGACGGTTACTTGTACTCTGTTTTGCTGATGTTGATAAGGAGACCTACAATGTCCGGTGATTTCACGGTGTGGGACAGTTACACCTGAGCTTTTACAATGGAAAAATCTAGACGGCGTATGTCGTCGGCAAAGTCGAGGTCATTTACACACTTTGCTGAGAGCCTGGTTGATCTTTTAAGACGGGTCAATAGGCCAATATTAGCATTGTTAATGGTGGCCTGGCACGCAACATAGTCTAAGACGATAACAAAGAGAAATGGGGTGAGGATGTCCACTTGACGAACACCGGTGGTTACTTCAAAGCCTTCGGACAAATGGCCATCAACTAACACGGAACCTTTGGAATCGTCATAAAGGACTCTGATTGCACTGAAAATCTTGGTGGTAATGATATAGTCTTTAAAGGTGGCCACTAATGGTAATTGTTTTGCCTGAAAGCCTTGTAAAGTACGCGTTAGGGTATGCATCTGTTGTGTGCAGCCGCGCCCACGTCTGAAACCGGCTTAATTGGGCCTTAGGATTAGACCTATAGAGGGTTAAATTCTATCTAGTAGGATCTTATCGTAGACCTTAGCGTAGATGAACAGCAAGGTTATCGTTCGATAATCGTATTCGGGCTCTATACTATTTTAGGCTCTATAGTTCCTAAGCGAGTTAGTCCACTTGCCATTGACCAGGAAATGGTCAAGTTACGCGCGAGAGCCCAATGGGTGGGTCCAGGTCGACTGCCTAGTCCTTGGGCGGGAAAATCTGGATTGCGCGTGTCGAAGGTTAGTTGCAAGGTTAAAGCTGAAACGTCCCTCTCCGTTGTTGTTGGTGGTGGTGTCGTGTAGTAGGCGGGGACCCACTGTTCTTGAAGCTTCTTTGTGACTGTCTTAGGCGAGTTTTGTGTTGAACTGTCTGTCAACAAGATGAATCTCGTGACACTTGATGTTGTCGGATGTATGGGTGTTGAGCAGGTTGTAGAATTTTTTCCTTTTCGTCCATGTCGGCCGTCTCTGTTGAAGCATAGTGTAATAAGTCTTGGGTTGTCATTGAAAGCTGGTGCGATTTGCCTGACTGGTATATATAAGTCCTCGGATTGCAGTCTGATATGATAATTGGATTCCAATGGGAGATTCGGTCTCTGTGAGCCGCAGCGTACCTCTCGGTTTCCCATTGCTGCTTCATGTAGTCAGAGGAATGACAATGATCACTTCCCTTGGCCGAGTTACTGGGATTTCTTAAAGATTTCGGAAACGTAAAGTTGCAGACTGCTTTGCCCCCTGTCTGCGGCAATACTTGGATGATTGGTCCTAAGCATGCTGTTTGGGGGGTGGAGTATTATGCAAACCATAGTTGGTGTATGGTGTCCCTTGCATGTTGGCCGTTGGTTCCTGTACGAGCTCATCCGCCTTTTAACAGGTCTTGTTTTTAGTCCTGCAGGGTGGGATACCATCGTCCTGATAAGCGAACGCTGTTGAGGGAGCCGGTTTAGACGCCGACTACCCTTCCATGCGGCAGGTGGTAATAGGTTACAATGTTACCAGTAGCAGGGTTACCCTGACCTGACCATGGGTCTTGACTAGGTGATCAGGAACAGTCAACAATAGTTCTTTGGTTGAGTAATAAGCCACTTCGTGTAGTAAAGTGTATGAAAACCAAAGATAAAATATACTTGTCTAATAATCCTATTTCAGGGACACCCGACGACTGTTTTCTGTAAAATATCTGTTCGGAGAAGCAAATATTGCTTAGAATTTTCTATTTCTTGAGGACAACTAAAAATTTCTAGATGACCGTTCCATTCAGGCACAATTTTCGAAGCTTATATAATAAATTCCCTACGATTTTCTGAAGTTTAATTTTTCACATTTCACACCCCAGGCTAGACTATTTTTCGTAGGAAAACGAAGCCTAAAATTTTCGGATTAAAAAATGTGATGGAGAGAGGAATCAAAAAAATTTTCACTTTCGTAATGCGCTAAATTGCATCAAAAATTTTCGGGAAAATAATACTGAAGCCCTTGCAATTTCGAAAAAGCTTAAGTTCCCCTAGGATGACCGAACAGATGCAAATCTTTTAGCGCCGCTAAGATTTCATTTGTTAAGGTCTAAAAGTACTCTGGATAGCCTAAAAACTGTTTTCAATGTATTTAGGAGGAAATCGTCGCTATTTGAATTTTGGTGAATCTCGTAATACAGCTTCTTTGATTTTGCTTAGACAATTGAAGCTGGAGGTTTTCCTTATCTTATCATGGCTTATAAGAAGAAGATCAAGGAGGGTTGAATGCACCATTGGATGCAGGTAAGGGTTTAATTCACGTAATATATCACGAAATGCAAACTGAACTAAGAAGCGGAGAATTGACGCCTTAGTATAGGAGAAAGGGATCAAAACTACAGAACATAAAAGCTCTTTGGCACTTCGAAGGTTCGAGGTATTCTTCCGCTTCTTTGTATGAAAGGAAAAAACGCTCAAAGGAAGTCTTGGTATTGCTGTTCGGTTTTAACAGAAAAGATCAAGGGAAAAAAAGAGTTTGAAATATCAGCCTCCACATCGCCAGAGCTTGTTTCTTGTTTTAAGCTAAAAGACAAGCACTTCAAGTCATTTGCACTGCGTCAGATTGAATCAAAGCAACCAATGAAAAATCTTGAAATATTTTTAGCAAAATTTTAGTGTGGTGTAACTTGACCATAAACAATGAGATGCAACCGTTTCATTTCCAGAGAAGGTCGGAGTCAATCCTATTAAATTTCACTTTGCAAAATGCTGAAAAACAATTAGAACTAAGTAAAAATACTGATGAAGAGGTTTCATGCTAGTTTAATTTGAATGGTCATGAATGGTAATGATTGAGATAAAATACTTAGAGAAGGTCGGAGTCAAGCCTTTTAGATTTCACTTTGTAAAATGCTGAAAAACATCTGGTACAATGTGAAAATTCTCTCCTGAAGAGGTTTTATGAATTTGAACAGTCACGCACAGGATGGCATCCCATGAACTCAAACGTTAGAACCACGGTACAATGTTTTTGGGTGATGTATCAGACGCGTAACACAAGGTTGAAAATATGTGGCGCGTATAAAGTTCTCTCTTCTTCAGTCTTCTTCTCTCTTTTAAAGTTTACCAAGAGTAATTACATATTAAAGGAGAGGCCTGGACACGAAAAAAAACCTCCCTCAATAGGGGCTACAACGCCATAAATTTGGAGCTAGATATTAAAACAAAAAACAAATCCGGTAGCAATTTTAGTCATAATTTTCAGGAAAAAAATACATCAATATTGACCAAAAAGATGTAATTTAAATTAGCTAAAGGCAAAATCTGACATTAATTAAGTCTTGAAGAAATTTATCAGGCTAGTGAAGTTAATATCTATTTAAATGTTCTCAAAACATAGCCAAAGTCTTAAGGTCTTAATGATGCTGACAGTTTCGATGACTGTCAGCCATCTTTATCGAAACTTGGAAATCGCCAAAGGTGTCAGAAGCCTTAAATAGGCTTCTGAAGGTGTTAATTATTGCGATAAACGCGCAAAGTCACTCTGTAGACGCCTCACCAAGTTAAAAAAGGATAGCAAGATAACGGAACAAATACTTGTACCCTACATCTGAGGCCACACCCAGATTGTACTGCATACCAAAAATCCACAAGGCTAACAACCCTCTGAGACCTATTGCGGATTACACAGGATCAATTGGTTACAATACATCTAGAGCCCTAACTTAACTCCTGGGATCTCTGGTCGGTACTACGGAACGTCATGTTAAAAATTCCAAAGAGTTTGCTTAAGAATTATCCTCAGTCACATTAGAACAAGAAGACATCTTCAACTCCCACGATGTTGTGTCACTATTCACCAAGACCCCTATCCAGGAGACATTAACCATCATAAGAGAACGCTTAGAGAAAGGTCAAGATCTAAAGAAAAGAACAAACATAGAGGTTGATGATATAATGGATCTCACATAATTTATTGCCACCACCACATACTTCAGTTTCAGAGGACAATTATTCAAACACGAGTTCGGTACAGCATGGGCAGCCCAGTATTCGCGATCCTGGCTAACTTCTTTATGGAATGGCTAGAACAACAGGCCATCGCCACTACTCCCATAGACTGTAAACCTAAGCTATGGAAAAGATATGTGGATGACATCCTGTAAATAATTAAGAGGGGAAAGGTGGAGGCACTGACAGGTCATCTTAACGGAATAGACAAACAAAAAGCATCAAATTCACGCACGAACCAGAGAAAAATGCCAGATCCCGTTTTTGGACACCCTTACCGTTAGGAGGGAGGACGGTTCCATCAAACTACTGGTTTATAGGAAAGCCACACACACAGACCAGTACCTGTCGTTTCAATCGCATCATCCACTTCAGCACAAACTTGCTGTCATACAGACGTTATATGGAAAGGAGTGAAAGCATTGTCACGGAAGAAGAAGACCGTAAACAAGAGGAAGAACACATAAGAACAGTCCTTCATACATGTGGTTACTCGGATTGGGCGATAAACGGAGGGTCAAAGAGCAAATGAACAGGAAGAAAGCTATTAGAAAGGAGTGGTGACTGTCCCAAATGTCCACTCATTCACGGAGAAAATACAATGTATATTCACTAAACACAGGGTAGCCACACTGGTTAAATCTCAAACCACCTTCAGACAGGTTTTAGTTCACCCGAAAGACAAAGTTGATAAGCAAAAAAAGGCTAGAGTGGTGTACAAAATTCCATGCAACAAATGCAAAAAGGTATACATCGGTGAAACAGGGAGACAGCTGGAAACTAGGATCACAGAACACAGAAAGGAAGCAGAAAAGATCTCTGACAGAAATTTCACAAGATCCACCCGTAGAGCTTCTACAAGTGAGCACCGTAAATCAGCCATAACAGACCACGTCTGTCAGAACAATCATATTATGAATTGGGAAGCAAGTGAAATAGTTGAGCAGGAAAGCGACAAGTTTAAGAGATGGATCAAGGAAAGCATACGTATTAGATCGAACACTCCTACTATGAACAGGGACGAGGGAGCCAATCAGCTTTTTCCCATATGGACACAAGTGATCTCCACCCCCAAACCAGGGGGGTGTCTACAGAGTGACTTTGCGCGTTTAGCGCAATAATTAACACCTTCAGAAGCCTATTTAAGGCTTTTGACACCTTTGACGATTTCCAAGTTTTGATAAAGATGGCTGACAGTCATCGACAGTCAGCATCATTAAGACTTTATGACTTTGGCTATGTTTTGAGAACATTTGAATTGACATCAATTAAATTTAAGAGAACTGAATCTAAAACCTAATACTAATAGTGACTAGAAGATATGCATTGTTTTAGTTTGGATTAAAAATCGATCACTTTTTTAATTCAACAGTAAGCACAGGAAACCATCAGAACAGATTTTTTCACTTTCAGTATTTGGTTTTACCCTCAGTTTAATCCAAAACTAAACCAAGAAATGATCGATTTTTTACCAACAGCTTCCAACGAACTAAGAGGTCTCGTATTTAAAAGTGACAAAACACTTTGATGAGTTGCTCTTCTGATGTCCAAACATGAAACGGTCAATGCATGGCTTCCTTTGTATGACTCTTTGTCCTTGACTTGAAAATTGGTTAATATTTTTAACAACAGAAATGGATAAATTGTTACATTTTCTCTTTTGAAAAAATGGATACCATTTTGATTTCGGATCTGCGATTTTCCTCATTGTGGTAAAGTTCAATAACATTTTTCACGTTTTGCCTGACTTTAAAAGCGAATGTATTAATCAAGCTTTCCTTCCCCCACCCCTCTAAAACAGTGCCAGCCTAGTCCCCAGGCGTTTTTGGCTCAACGGATCAAGAGAGAACGCCTAGGGACTAGGTTGATGCTGTGCCACTGCTAAAGCAGCCTGTAGAACACAGCAAACAATTTAACATTGGATGAGAGGGAGGGGAGAGAGGGGGAGAGGGTTTTTAACATGTTTTTGCAACAATTCCGTAGGTTTCAGAGAAAACAGATGCAGACGAATGGAGAAAGATAGCGGAGAATTTGCTTGTTTTGTTTTGTTTTGTGTTTTTTGAGATGGCAAATTCATCTCCTCAAAATAGTTGATAAAACTAAACGTTTCTGTTTCACTCCTGGCCGATTTTATTGACTACACAATTTCTTTCATTTGTTTGAAACAATGCTTTTTATGCTAAGACTATTGGTGGTATAGAAGCTGACGTAAAAGGTGATGCGCTGATTCTTCAAAACGGTTTATGTAATATATCAAACATGAGATGCAGTGTTTCATCACCAGATGAAACACCGAGAAGAGAGTTGAAAATACGACGCGCAGCGGAGTATTTTTGACGAACTTCGAGGTGTTTCATCTGGTGATGAAACATATTTCTTCTCAAACAAAATCATTTTTGAAGGAGAAATTAAGGATGCAAATACTAAGCAGTGTTTCATCCGATTTCCAAACACTCATTAAACATTAATTTCCTTTGTATTTTCTTAATGAATTATTAATGCATTTGAGAATGTTAAATCACAAGTTTTAACAACTTTCAACTGAAGGCGTCTTCACGCAGGCTAACATGGTATACCTATTCATATTAGGAGCTAATCAAATCACAAGTTAAGAAAGTTATTGGAGTTTACAGTCCGACTGTACCCGAACCAGGCACTTGAAAAAAGATTATCCAATCACAAGGTTTTTGAAAACAAAATGTTCCCAAGTTTTTTGCAAACGGACCAATAACATTCATAAATATTTGACGGATCTTTCTTGAGAGGTCAGGTATATTGTTTCAAACGGTTTTAAAATTTTCAACGGTTGCCTAGTTGAACTTTGAATTTTATTGGTCCGTTTCCAAAAAAAAACTTGAGAATCTTTTAATTTCATAAAAGACGTTGTGATTAGATAAAAAAAAAAGACTCCAAATCTTTTTTAAACCTAACGTGTGAAAGCTACAATCACGCATGCAAACAGCGTAAAGACGCCAACCGTTGAGATTCCAGCTCCATTGTCCAGTACTGGATCGCACAGGTCAGTCTTGCAACAGGCCGAATTGCACTTGATAATCTTCTTGAAGTTAAGAATCCGTCGACCTATTAGGCTACAATCGTTGTCTTTGCATTCTTTGTCAAAGGCGCAACTCTTGACATAGTAAGTGTACGTCTTGTTTCCAACCAAGGCTTCTGCTTACAAAAAGATGTTCTCCTTTCTTAAACAGGGTACAGAAACGAAGACTTTTTGTGCTGACCCAGGGTTTGAAAGCCCAGTCGGCGAGACACTCCCCTTTCCAGAATTTTCTTGGGAGCCCCCCGCCCCCCCCCCCCTCCCCCGCTTAAAATAATGTAAGATATAAACACCACAGTCGAGTCAACAATTTAAAAAAGCGCATAAAATGTCCAGTGATCCAGCATCCCTAATATGCTGAGGAAGACTGTTCCAAAGAAGCGGCGCAGCAACAGAAAAAGCACGACGGCCATAACTACTTATGTTAAAAGCACGTACGGCTAGCAGATTTATCTTTGAAGAACTATAAGATCCCGTGCTGGGAGGTAACTTTGAAGAAGACCTTTAATATAAGCAGAGCAAGTCCATGGAGAGTATTGTAAGTAACGCTAACTTTAGGGTGTGCTTGTAAAATTGACCTTCTAAAAATATTGCTTCACCCCTGAAATAAAGCTGAAATTTAGGTGTAAAATGGGGTAGGTATGTATCGGAAGCATTCCGCAAACTTATTAAGGATTCTATAAAATCGTGTGGGAATTCCTATTTCACCGTGCATGCAAGAAGGACCCCTGATAATACGTATAAACCTTTATTAATTACCTAGCATAATCCGATTACAATCTTTCCTTTAGCCAATTAAAGGATGTGGTCGTAGCCCCAAGGGAAATTTCTTCTTGTAAAGACACTCAAATATTCGTTGAAAACGTGCTCTTGTGCTTAAACTTACAAACTGCGGAAAATTTCAAAACTATCAAATCCAATAACGTTTGCCCTGAACTTTTCCCTAGCTATTCTACAGAAACGAAAATAGAATAATCGATAAAAAGCTTCATACACTAAGCTTGCAATGCTACAGAAATAGTTGTAAATCTGCCGCGTCGAAGAAACATCGACATTGCGACTTCTCCTAATTTGCCAGATTTCTGGGTGTAAACTATTTGAAAAAGAAGTTTACGGTTTGCTGCCCCGTTACTGATGCTGTTGTAGGTAAGTTAAATCATAAAATAAAATAAAAATCGTCACAGCTTCGTGACAAACAAGTATGTCTCGCAAGGCTGTTATATCAAAGTTTAGAACTGAACAAAACTCTGAAAAACTGAAAGACCGGAAGGTTTTCAAAAACGCACCTTTAATTTTGTCCATCTCTGCCTTTTTTTACCTTATTATAGGAAATTAACGCTCCATGAAATTAACGCGAATCGTTAAAATTCGCGTTTATTTAAGTCGCGTTAATTTTGTTGAGCGTTAATTTCCGCGACGTTAATTAAGTGCAGCCTTAATTTCCGCGCTCTAAATTTCCATTATTTTAAACCCAATTTTGGAACCTGTCCAGACACCTAAAAAACATTAACTACAAGCTTTCGTTCTTTACATTTACCCTTTATTTTTCATCTTTCAAAAAAGCTAACGCGAAGGTTTACAATATTTCGAGTTCATCTTCATCGTTGTCGCTGTCAGAAGTGATGTCAGCTCACTTTTGTTCAGTTTTGATTTTTTTTGCATCCAGTCTTGAAATAAATTTGTTCCAGTTGCCTCCACCAGCTGTGTCTTAATCGCGTTAATTTCCTTTATTATGAAACTATACCTCCTCTTTCGCGTTAATTTTCTTTTTTCGAAAGTCATTTTCAATTAAATTCGCGTTAATTTAAGTCGCGTTAATTTCCAATACCTTAATTTCATGGAGCGTTCATTTCCTATAATAAGGTATTTTGCTGCTTTCCTTCTTTTGTTTTGAGATACTCTTTCATTTATTTTATATTTTTCTCAATTTTGGTTTTTTGTGTTTCATAATGGCTAAATTTGACCAAATTTGGCTAGTCATTTCCGTATCACTTCGCCTCTTTTTTTCTTGTGCAAAGAAAGTATATTTCGAACTTACAAGAAAAAGAATCGGGATCGGTAACTTAAAGTCTTTACTAGTTCCTCTTTTCAATTCTGTCATCACCTTTTCACTCGAAGGAGATAGAACAAATCAATATCGTAAGCCATGGGAAAAAATTGGTATGAATCGAATTTCTACTTACCCATGGAGATACAAGAAAGCACAAAAACAAAGGTTGCTACGGAAGCCAGATGATTCATTTTGCTGAGTAGGAAAAAAACTGACGAAACTGTCGGTAAGGAATACTTTGTAATGGCCTGTGGGAACCTTCTCTCGAAGTGTGAAAAGTTTGCTCATAGACGAGCATTTATAACAATTTGTGCTATGCGGAATTAGATCGAAGCCAATCGATTAAAAAACCTCCAATTATTTTCAGATAGCAAATGCGTTCGTTGACGTCACTTGATCATGAACTGGGATGTAACCTTTTAATACCCAGAAGTAGCAAAAGTAAAAAAAATGCGACATAATTTTCAAATTTAATTTTTTTAAAATGCTGATATTAAGAATAACGAATAGCACTATGTGAAAGTACTGCTGAAGAGGTTTGTTTCATTTGAATGGTCACACCATAGGATTTCATCTGTAGACTCAAAATTTAGAACCACGTGAGAAGCCTCCATCATTCACTCTGGAAGTGAGAAGGTTAATGCTGTGCTACAACGGGTATGTGCGAACGTGACGCGAAACCCGATTACAATATATCTGTGTAAAATATCGAACACCGAACGCAGTGTTTTACCAGATATTAAACACAGAGTACTGAGTTATTTCAGAAAGCGCACTGGATTATTTTTAACGAGCTTCGAGGTATTTGAAATTGTGACAAAACACAGAGAAGAGTTGCTCTTCCGGATGTAAAGTCATGATACGGTGCATGTACGGCCTCCTTTATCCCTACCGTACCTTTAAATTTGTTAGATTTGTTTTATAACATCACAAACGGGTGGTATTTTAAACTTGGGCTGTAATTTTCTATTTCTTTAATTGTGCTTCCTGAATAAGCAAGTTACCAACCTGAACAAGAAAAATGGGAATCATTTCAAGTGGGACCTTTGCTACATTGAATTGCCGACAGTCTTGGATTTTGGATTACACGCCGTAGATTCCGGATTCCAGGTATTGGATTCCAGTCTTTGTCAGTGGAACTTTCTGGATTCTAATCGTTAGTGGGATTGCGGATACCTTGAGATGTATTCCGGATTCCACATCCCAGGATTCCGGATCAGACAACAAAATTTCTTCAGAATTCAGTGGATTCCACAAGCAAAAATTTCCTGTATTCCGGAATCTGTCTGACTTGCTCTTGGTATCATTTCGAATTAAGACGCTGATTATCCGTGCATTAGGCATGTGATACAATGTTGTCAGTAGAAGGGTTCAAATGACCCAGGCTCACCACGGGTCCTGACTCACGGGTCAGGAACAGTCAACAATGGTTCTTTGGTTGGATAATTATTATCAACTTCATTCAACTTCGTATGTAATAAAGTGTATGAAAACCATAAATAAAATTTTGAGCAACTTTATTTAAACAAATTGGAGCTTCTTGTGGACACCATTAGATGGCTGGGTGGATGAGAAGATGGGATGGTAAGGGGGGTGTTGGTGAATGGATGGATGGTTGGGTGGATGGGTGGGTGGATCGATTAATGGATGGATGGATGAATAGGAGAGAATCGTGGGCGGCAATCGGGACGAAAGCTGGAGACAGATCCTTGGGTGGGAGCAGTTAAACGGGGAAGTGAGTTTTGAGGGTCGAGAAGAGTTGAATGCACGATTGGATGGATGCTTGTAATATTTCACGAAGGTAAACTGGCCGAAATCTTTTTATGTAGAATTCACGCCCTAGTAAAGAAATAAGAGAACAAAACGGCAGAACGTAAAAGCTATTTGGCACTTCGAAGGTTCGAAGTATTCTCGTACTTCGTTGAATGAGAGAAAGAGACGATGAAAGGAAGTCTTAATATGGCCGTTTAGTTGCAATAAAAAAAAGATCGAGAACGAAAAAGAATTAGATATCACAGCCAACACATCTCCGCTGCGTAGGATCGAATCAAACAAACCAATAAAAGGGCTTGAAATACTTTACTTTTTATGAAAAAGCGTCCTTTGATGTCACTTGATCGTGAACAATGCAGCCTGCGTAGCAAGCGTTTCCGTGCGGTGTAGGAACAAAGAACGAGGAACGAGAGTCAAAGACCGCGCGAAAAATGGCAAAATTTTTAACAGCAAAAATAGATAAAACTGTTAGCTAAGATTTTTTATCAAAACAAAAAAAGCGGGATACATTTCGAACTAGGGGCTGTGATTTGCAATATCCTTCATTGTGGTTGAGACGAACGAAAGTTTTCACGTTTTTCCGACACTGCCTACTTCAAAAGGGAATAAATTAATCAAGCTTTCTTTCCCAACCCCTCAGAAAACAATGCTGTGGCACTGCTAAAGCAGCCTGTAGGACAGAACAAACAATTCAACATTGGACAAGAGGGTTGGGTACAAGGTTAGGATGTTATTGTTTCCGGAAGTATTAATATCTATTGGACAATAGTGTTTCAACAGTTCTAGGTTTACGACGAAGCGACAGGGTAAGCGGAAACAGGAACAGAATGGCGAGGTTAGTGGCGGGGCCCTTTCCCAAGAAACAGATCGAGGAAAACAGAGAAAGAAAGCAGAGAATTTCCTTGTTTTTCTTCCACATGCTGACAAAGTGCTAGCTGAAAACTTTAGCTTTTGAATCTCTTTGCAATGGAAAATCAACTTTATCAAAATATTTAATAAAGTTAACCTTTTGTGCTTCACTCTCCACAGATTTTATTGGAGACAGTGACAAGACGGAGGTAAAAGTGACGGACTGATTCTTCAAGTCACTTTATTATTAAATCAATATTTGTTAACAACAGTCAATGCATGGTCACGCAGGGTATCATGACATGCATATAGCCATATTAAGAGCTAATCAAAAGTACAACTTAAAAACGTTATTTAGTGGAGTTTTTTAAAAGCCTACACATCAGTCTTTGGAAACCGCCGAACGGGTTAATGCTACAAGAGCGCATATAAACAGCGTAAAGCCGCTGACCATTGAGATTCCAGCTCCATCATTACACAGGTCAGTCTTGCAGCAGGCCACATTGCACTTGATGATCTTCTTGAAGTTGGGAATCGTTTCACCTATTCGGCTGCAATCTTTCTCTTTGCATTCTTTGTCAAAGGCGCAACTCTTGACATAGTAAGTGTAGGTCTTGCTTCCAACCAAGGCTTCTGCTTTCGCTTTGGCGCAGCGATCCTGACCAGATGGACAAGTCATCACGTCTGTATAATTTTTGCATTCATCCCACCCGCCATCAACCATGCACGATTTGCACTTTAGTCCATAACCTGGAAAAAAATAATAAGTAGATCAATGAATAAATATATGAATAAGTAAATGAATAAATACACGTATCTGCCTTTGAAAATGCTTTTCAGGGTTACAGACGAAATTCTTTTGTCTTAAACAGGGTAGAGAAACGAAGAATTTTTGTGGGTTGGCTCAGGGTTTGAAGGCATCGGCGACACACATCTTCCCAGACTTCTCTTGTGCCCCCTGCGCCCCACCCCCCCCCCCCCCCCCCCGGACCCGGGATGGGGCTTCCCCTTTATAAAAAAAAAAAAAAAAAAAAAAAAAAAAAAAAAAAATAAAAAAACTAAAAAAACCATTTTCCCGGGTAAAAACGCGCTTTTAACTACAATAAAAGGGGGAGACAAAGAGAGAATTTTTTGGGGTTGGCTCCGGGTTTGAAGGCACCGGCGACCCCCCCCTTCCCACACTTCCCTTTTGCCCCCCGCCCCCCCCCCCCCCCCCCCCCTTAGGAACCAGGATCTGGACTTCACTTTAATAATAATAATAATAATAATAATAATAATAATAATAATAATAATAATGAGACATCTATAAAGCGCTCTTTCCCAGGGTCAAAGGCGCTATTTACATCAAGTTTAAGAAAATTTAAAACTACAGTGAAAGTTAAAATTTAAAAACCACGTTAAAAAACTACAAAAACTAAAGATAAAATAATGTAAGATATAAAAACACCAAGTCGAGTCATCAATTTAAAAAAGCGCATAAAATGTCCAGTGATCCAGCATCCCTAATATGCTGAGGAAGACTGTTCCGAAGAAGCGGCCTAGCAACAGAAAAAGCACAACGGCCGCAACTGCTTATGTTAAAAGCACGTTAAAGGCTCGCAGATTTATCTTTAAAGACCTATATGATCCCGTGCCGGGAGGTAACTTTGAAGAAGACCTTTGATATAAGCAGGAGCAAGTCCATGGAGAGTCTTGTAAGTAACGCTAACTTTACAGTGTGCTTGTAAAATTGATCTTCTAAAAATATCGCTTCACCCCTGAAATTAGACTGAAATAGGGCTGAAGTTTTGGTGTAAAAAAAGGTGGTAGGTATTTATCGGAAGCATTCCGCAAACTTATTAAGGATTCTATAAAATCGTGTGAGAATTCCTATTTCACCGTGCATGCAAAAAGGACCCCTGAAAATACCTATTAACTTTTATTAATTACCTAGCATAATCCGATTACAATCTTTTCTTTAGCCAATTAAAGGATGTGGTCGTAGCCCCAAGGCAAATTTCTTCTTGTAAAGACACTCAAATATTCTTTGAAAACGTGCTCTTGTACTTAAACTTACAAACTGCGGAAAATTTCAAAACTATCAAATCCGATAACGTTTGCCCTGAACTTTTCCCTAGCTATTCTACGGAAACGAAAATAGAATAATCGATAAAAAGCTTCATACACTAAGCTTGCAATGCTACAGAAATAGTTGAAAATCTGCCACGTCGAAGAAACATCGACATTGCGACTTCTCCTAATTTGCCAGATTTCTGGCTGTAAAGTATTTGAAAAAGAAGTTTACGGTTTGCTGCCCCGTTACTGATGCTGTTATACGTAAGTTAAATCATAAAATAAAATAAAAATCGTCACAGCTTCGTGACAAACAAGTATGTCTCGCAAGGCTGTTATATCAAAGTTTAGAACTGAACAAAACTCTGAAAAACTGAAAGACCGGAAGGTTTTCAAAAAACNGTTAAATCATAAAATAAAATAAAAATCGTCACAGCTTCGTGACAAACAAGTATGTCTCGCAAGGCTGTTATATCAAAGTTTAGAACTGAACAAAACTCTGAAAAACTGAAAGACCGGAAGGTTTTCAAAAAACGCACCCTTAATTTTGTCCATCTGTGCCTTTTTTATCATTTTGCTGCTTTCCTTCTCTTGTGTTGAGATCAGCAGTTATTTTATATTTTTCTCAATTTTGTTTTTTTAAGTTTCATAATGGTTAAATTTGACCAAGTTTGGCTAGTCATTTCCGTATAGCTTCGCCCCCTTTTTTCGTGTACAAAGAAAGTATATTCGAACTTACAAAAAAAAGAATCGGGATCGGTAACTTAAGGTTTTTACTAGTTCCTCTTTTCAATTGTCATCACCTTTTTACTCGAAGGAGATAGAACAAATCAATATCGTAAGCTATGAGAAAAAATTGGTATGAGTCGAATTTCTACTTACCCATGGAGATACAAGAAAGCACAAAAACAAATGCTGCTACGGAAGCCAGATGATTCATTTTGCTAAGTAGGAAACAAACTGACGAAACTGTCGGTAAAGAATACTTTGTTATTGCCTGTGGAAGCCTTCTCTCGAAGTGTGAAAGGTTTGCTCATAGGCAAGCATTTATAACACTTTGTGCTATGCGGATTTAGATCGAAGCCAATCGATTAAAAAACCTCCAATTATTTTCAGATAGCAAATGCGTTCGTTGACGTCACTTGATCATGAACTGGGATTTAACCTTTTAATTCCCAGAAGTAGCAAAAGTAAAAAATATTCGACATAATTTTCAAATTTTATTTTTCAAAATGCTGATATTAAGAATAACGAATAGCACTATGTAAAAGTAGTGCTTAAGAGGTTTCATTTGAATGGCCACACCACAGGATTTCATCCGCAGACTCAAAATTTAGAACCACGTGAGAAGCACCCATCATTCACTCTGGAAGTGAGAAGGTTAATGCTGTGTTACAGCGGGTATGTGCGAACGTGACGCGAAACCCATATATTGATATCTGTGTAAAATATCGAACACCGAACGCAGTGTTTTACCACATGTTAAACACAGAGTACTAAGTTATTTCACAAAGCGCACTGGATTATTTTTAACGGGCTTTGAGGCATTTGAAATTGTGACAAGACACAGTGAAGAGTTACTCTTCCGGATGTACAGTCATGATACGGTGCATGTACGGCCTTCTTTATCCCTACCTTTGACCTTGTTAGATTTGTTTTATAACATCACAAACGAGTGGTATTTTAAACTTGGGGCTGTAATTTGCTGTTTCTTTAATTATGCTTCCTCAATAAGCAAGTTACCAGCATGAACAAGAAAAATGGGCATCATTTCAACTGGGACCTTTGCTACATTGAATTGCCGACAGTCTTGGATTCTGGATTACACGCCGTGGATTCCGGATTCCAGGTATTGGATTCCAGTCTTTGTCAGTGGAACTTTCTGGATTCTAATCGTTAGTGGGATTGCGGATACCTTGAGATGTATTCCGGATTCCAGATTCCAGGATTCCGGATCAGACAACAAAATTTCCTCAGGATTCAGTGGATTCCACAAGCAAAAGTTTCCTGTATTCCGGAATCTGTCTGACTTGCTCTTGGCATCATTTGGAATTAAGACGCTGATTATCCGTGCATTAGGCATGTGATACAATGTTGCCAGTAGAAGGGTTCAAATGACCCAGGCTCACCACGGGTCCTGACTAGGCTTTGGTAGATTATGCTAGCATAATCTTAAGCATAATTCAGCAAAACGAGCATTATTTTAAGCTTTTATTTCAGTTTAGCAGTACTAGCATAATCCGAGCTTTTATGCGTTGAAAACAAAAAGACCATCGTAGCTCTAGAATAATTCAGTTTGTATTTTATTTCTGTATTGTATTTGGAAAATATTGAGGTCTGTGCTAAGGTCCATGGTCAAATATGGTCCGGCAGGCGGCAGAGGTGACCCTGTGCATATCTGAGAGACTGAGACTCTCCTCAGGCCACCACGCTTATGGCTCGGCGGCTCGGCCCCTTAGGCCTCAGATCAAAGATGGCAACAAACTGATAACCTACCCCATTGGTCTTCTGCAGTTCTCAAGGTTCTGCTGGTGCAGCCCTCGTCTGCAGCCGCTGAACGAGTATTCTCTATTCTTAACTCATCGTTAAATGATTCACAAGAGCATGCTCTCGTGGACTATTTACAGGCTTGTGTAATGCTTCAGTACAATAACCGATAACACAGAGATTAACAACATGCATAGTTGTCTTTATACTGAACTGAGGGCTTTGCCTGGATAGCGTCTAAAACAAGTATGCGGACTATAACTTTCTGACCCGGATTCAGAACCCAGAAACGGTTGATTTTGGTATCATTTTGTTAATCATTTGGCTTTTCGAGGTGCGCACATGCGTATTTGCGATGCTAAAGACTGTAAGACTAGAAGGTGGACTATATGAATGTTCATTAAAGTCAAAATTGATAGAGTTAAGCTACTGGCTACTGATGATCTTTATTTTCCTTAAAATCAGTGTAAAATCTAAGTAGCATAAGTTCGTAACAGAGAGCATAATTTTCAGAAAGTAGCATAATTTTGGCATAATTTCTAAAACATATGAACACTGCTTAAAGCATAATATGCTTTTTTTTCGAGCACAATCTACCAAAGCCTAGTCCTGACTCGGGGGTCAGGAACAGTCAACAATGGTTTTTTGGTTGTAATAAAGTGTATGGAATCCATAAATAAAATTTTGAGCAACTTATTTAAACAAATTGGAGCGTCTTGTGCACACCATTAGATGGCTGGGTGGATAAGAGGATGGGAGGGTAAGGGGGGTGTTGGTGAATGGATGGATGGTTGGGTGGGTGGGTGGGTGGATCGATTAATGGATGGATGGATGAATAGGAGAGAATCGTGGGCGGCAATCGGGACATCTAATGCTGGAGACAGATCCTAGGGTGGGAGCAGTTAAACGGGGAAGTTAGTTTTGAGGGTCGAGAATGGTCGAATGCACGATTGGATGGATGTTTGTAATATATCACGAAGGTAAACTGGCCGAAATCTTGTTGTGTAGAATTCACGCCCTAGCAAAGAAATAAGAGAACAAAACGGCAGAACGTAAAAGCTATTTGTCACTTCGAAGGTTTGAAGTATTCTTGTACTTCGTTGAATGAGAGAAAGAAACGATGAAAGGAAGTCTTAATATGGCCGTTTAATTGCAATAAAAAAAGATCGAGAACGAAAAAGAATTAGATATCACAGCCAACAAATCTCCACTGCGTAGGATTGAATCAAACCAACCAATAAAAGGACTTGAAATACTTTACTTTTTATGCAAAAGCGTCCTTTGATGTCACTTGATCGTGAACAATGGGACCTAACCCTTTCATTCCCCGAGAAGGTCGGAGTCAAACTATTTAAATTCACTAGGTAAAATGCTGAAAAACATCATCAAATACCATGTGAAAATAACCACGATGAAATATTTTTGGGTGATATATCAAACACGCATCACAGCATCACGCTTCGTTAATTCAGCAGTAAGCAGACGAAACCATGAGGATAGGTTTTTTCGCTATCTCATTAGGTTTAACTTTCGGTTTAATCCAAAACTAAACCAAGAAATGATCAATTTTTCACCACTAGCTTCCAACAAACTCAGAGGGCTCGGATTTAAATTGCAAATGACAAAATAATTTGATGATTTCCAAACATAAAACGGTGGAAGCACGGCTTCCTTTGACCAGCTTGACCTTGCCTTGAAAATTGGTTAATTTCTTTTTTAACGGCAAAAATAGATAAAACTATTAGCTAAGATTTTTTATCAAAACAAAAAAAGCTGGATACAATTTTGAAATAGGGGCTGCGATTTGCAATATCCTTCATTGTGGTTGAGATGAACGAAATTTTTCACGTTTTTCCGACACTGCCTACTTCAAAAGGGAATAAATTAATCAAGCTTTCTTTCCCAACCCCTCAGAAAACAATGTTGTGCCACTGCTAAAGCAGCCTGTAGGACACAACAAACAATTCAACATTGGAAAAGGGGGTGGGTAGAGGGTTAGGATGTTATTGTTTCCGGAAGTATTAATATCCATTGGACAACAGGGTTTCAACAGTTCTAGGTTTACGACGAAGGGACAGGGTAAGCGGAAACAGGAACAGAATGGCGGGGTTAATAACCCTTTCCGAAAAAACAGATCGAGGGAAACAGAAAAAAAAAGCGGAGAATTTCCTTGTTTTTCTTCCACACGCTGACAAAGTGCTAGCTGAAAACTTTAGCTTTTGAATCTCTTTGCAATGGAAAATCAACTTTATCAAAATATTTAATAAAGGTAACCTTTTGTGCTTCACTCTCCACAGATTTTATTGGAAACAGTGACAAGACGGAGGTGAAAACTGATCAGGGGCGGATCCAGGGGGAGGGTGCAGGGGGTGCGCCCCCCCCCCCCCCTGGGATGAACTGCGGCCGCTTTCTAATTAACACTGTGCAGTCGCTTGACAGACACACAAAATCTGCTCTATCGTTTGATATGTATTCTCAGCAGTTCACATGATGTTATTTCCTAATCAAAAGCCCTCTTCTTCGTATTCGCTTTTAAAATTTTTTACGTCATCGGTCAGTTAGTGGTGCACCCCCTCCTAAGAAAAATCCTGGATCCGCCCCTGCTGATGCACTGATTCTTCAAGTCACTTTGTTATTAAATCACTACTTGTTAACAACAGTCAATGCATGCTCACGCAGGCTATCATGACACGCATATAGCCATATTAAGAGCTAATCAAAAGTACAACTTAAAAAGTTATTTAGTGGAGTTTTTTAAAAGCCTACACATCAGTCTTTGGAAACCGCCGAACGGGTTAATGCTACAAGAGCGCATGTAAACAGCGTAAAGCTGCTGACCATTGAGATTCCAGCTCCATCATTACACAGGTTAGTCTTGCAACAGGCCGAATCGCACTTGGTAATCCTCAAGTTTGGAATCCCTGGATCAATTCGACTGCAATTTTTTGTCTTTGCATTCTTTTTCAAAGGCGCGAGTCTTGACATTAAAAAGTGGAGGTCATGTTTCCAGCCACCTTGTCTACTTTAAAATTCAACCCGCTTAATACGGACACCGGTTGATGAGGACAACGGACTTTTGTTTCTAGCCCAATCAACGTCAATCAACAGATTCTCATAGCAAGTCAGCCACGCTAATACGGACAGTTCATTATTAAAACTGCGTGCTGTAATGGATCTTTCCTTTTTCAAGGTAAAGAAATGTTCAGTTGACAGCGCTGCTGATTTCAATGTTTCCAGCGCTACAGTACACCGGGTTGGATAATTTGTGGTCGTTGATTTCTGATTTGGGCATCAAACGAGTTAATATTCAGAGAACGATTTCAATTGAGTAATTTATAGGTAGTGAATTCTGAGTGTTTCCATGAATTTAGTCACGGAATGAAGGCTTCTTGAAGCACAGAGATGTTCAATTTGACGATGCTTATGTCCTCTTTTATTTCTCTAGTATCTTGC